GAAATATAATTAGATGCTGAATTTGCAAAAAAACGTTATTAGGCATTTAAACAGTAGTGTTTCAATTTGTGTTTTAAGACTTCAAAATTGATGGGTGTTGGAACGTTTATAGTGTACACCAGTATATAGTTGCACATCAAATTCTCCCCTGCTATTACCATAGATACAAGTTTAAATATTTAAGTCCTCTCGCAGTGGTTCACAATCTTTTACATACATCCGCGATCCCCGATTTCCAAAATATATGAGCATAACATATAAATACTAATTTTTTCGGACTCTAAATTTTAAAACATAATGGTATGGTACTATTTCTGCTTCCTTGAAAATGTAAATCTAACCGGCGCAGATTATTTGAATGGGTTAAAATTTCAATTAATAAACGTTAACGAAAATAGGCAATAAAACGGCTAATTTCATATAAATTTTGCCTCGAAGCGAAAGTAGACGAAAACCTGTTAGCGTCTGCCGCTTTACAAGTATATCCCACATAAGTTAATCTGTCAATCGTTTCAGCGTGGGCGATGAAAGTAAAAGTAGGTATGGTTGTTTGTACATAATTCGCAGGACAAAACCCAATTTCGCCTAAATTTCTTGAAAAATGATTCCCTCATTCTTGTGGTTGGTAAACACATTTTCGTCTTTATAGAATGATTCTTATATAAGAGTCTTTTAATATTTTAATTGCGAAATGAAATAAAACGGAATATGCATAATGTGAAACCATTCAATATTTTAATTAATTATATAATCAAAGTTCTCTTTGGTTCAAAATAAAAATATTACCCTGAAAGATGGAGTTTGATGACGTATTTGTAGGAAAAGTCACTGAAAATTTTTGATGATACAACGTACTCAAATTTTTAGAAGTTGAGACCTAAAAACAGATTTAACAAGCAATTTGGTAATCTATTAATTAACAGTGGCAAATGAAGTAGAATACACATATATACAGGGTGTATAGAAAAATAGAATAATTATTAGATATTTTACGTCTATAACTATAATTGATTTTATTTTCAAAATGATTAAATATTTTCAAATTGAAGATGTTATTTAAATAAAAATAAATAGAATAATAAGATTAGTTCTAGACACATACAAAAGATTTCTACTTGTTTTATGTGTCCAGTCTTACGGGCACCCTGTATAATATTTACTTGGTATTTGACCAATATTATGAAAGCTTTTAAGAGTCAAGTTTAGAATGCATGTGATCGTTGATGAATTTTTTTGAAAGTGAATTATCTGTGGCGAAATATTCAAATTCAGACAACACAATATGACTAACATCCCCTAATACTACATTATGAAATGACCTTTGATCACTTGTGACCTGGTATTGAACTTCCGGTTTCCGTCTGAAAATGAACAGTCATTCCTTCATGTCTTGCAACGCTATTCATATTTTTACGTAGTGTCAAATTAAACAGAAAATTCTAATCGGGCGATCATTTTAACGTACATTACTATTAGAGCAAGAAATACTGTTAAGTTATGTCGCAATATTTATAACCCGATTTCTGGGTGATACATGTTAGAATTCAGAATTTTGGAGCTAATATTACCAATTTGTAACACCAATAAATCACCACTACAAGCTTATCATTACTTATTAATTGAATAACATTTTTTTAAACACTGGTAGTTACCGGAGATCTATATAGCGTTTAGTTTAATGGTTTAACCTTATTGGTGAAGCGAAACCTCAATAAAACATCCGGGAGTCTTGAGGAACACCTGTGCAATAGTTTAATCGTCTTTTATTGCCTGAATTTCCAACTATAAATATATATAAAAGCAAAATACTAACAAACAAAAAAAATATCATCAAATTGTAGTAAGTTTAATAATAATGACAAGCCATAAAAATCAATGATGCATATACTTTTTTGATTGGCTGTGGCTTGATGTTTTTTCAACAAGATCGTGATTGCTCACGATTGCTCTCTAGTGGATGCTGTCTTATAATACATATAAGATCTACTGGGTGTTACGAGGAATGATCCGTTGAACAAATAAATATTTGAGAAGCAAGGCGCTGAATTCAATTTCTGTTTCAAAAAATGAGTGTTTCAAGGTTTAGAGCATATCCAATGACGCAAACGCGATATTGTTCTGGTGAATATATATATATATACAGGGTGTTCATAAAGTCCCTTTACAATTTCAATTTTGTTATGAAGTCAGTTATCAATATATTTTAACTTTTAATCAGAGTATTTTTACATCATTTAATGCATCTGTGAGGGCAAAAACGATATATGGTATCGATAAATTCTTTTGCAATTCTACAAATGGGACTTTACGGACACCCTATATATATATATATATATCATTCTCTAAGTCTAATATATATATATATATATATATATATATATATATATCTAATTTTTGTTAAAATGAAGTTAACTGAATTCCTTCTAAAGAAGTGCTAAGGGTAGGTAAGTAGGAGTCTATTTTTCATTTAAGTGAAACAACTGCCACAAGCATTCAGTTAGCATATTTATTCGGCGTAAAAATGGCATTGGAAGTGTCGGTGGCCAGGAACTATAAAACAACTTTTTATTATGAATATATCCTGATGGACGCGTTCCTGATGCCAGAAATGACTATGAATCTCACAAAAAAAGAGTGGAGACATTTGTCAACGATTGGCTCCAGTAAAAAAATTAGACACAGACTCGACTTCCTGTTGGGGATAAATAAAGAACAACAGATGTTAGCAAGATTATATAATTTCCCGACGTTTTGAATTTCTGTTCAGAAAAACTTTACCAGGGAATGACACCAGCATATATATGTATATAAAAGAACTTCTTGGTTGAAATAATGAGATATATTAAACGCTACGTTCAAATAAAATCAGCCATAATTAACTTTAGAAAAATCCCTGAACGAATCACAAAATTTCCAATTGGAGGATTTGATTCAATATTTCCTTCCATTAAAAAGTGTCAGTAAAAGTTGCGCTCCTATCTTCATGGCATGAATACCTTTCTGATAAATGCGCTTTAACTTCCAAAACGCTAAATATAACGCCAGTTGTCAGCTGCGAACCACGTTACCAATTCGCAAAACCCATGAATCCTCACTCTGCTTATTTTAAAAGTAATATATATACAAACTACAATTGAAGGGTTTGACCCTATTTTATCGAAAAAATGTTCGATCTCCATAGTTACATTTCTTCCTGCCTTAATTGCATGTGATACAGAATAAGCCTATATTGTGTTAATCGGCAACTGGTAGCGCCATATCTAATACTGTAGTTTTAAATTTATCGACCACCGGCCAAAATCATTCAGATTTTAAACGCTTTTCTATATATTCAAAATTACTTTGTATAGAATCCAGCTAATAAAATAGAAGAACATTAAGAAAAGCCGTTTCAAACGACGTTACAGTTAAAGCCTAGAAGTGATGAAAAATGATACACGATTCAAAATTAAATACAGTGGAACAAAATATAACTACAATCGCACAAAATGTAACAAATCAAAGTATAAAACTGTATTTGTAAGTATAATTTTCGGTCATTCGTCAATTGCTTTCTTTTTTTTCCAACGTTGAGTTTGTATTTCATGAAAAAAATCGGCGTTCCAGAAGTGTGTGTACCAATATGGAGGTAACTAATTTTGTTCGCCTATTTTTACATCAAGTTGTGTAAAGGGACGGAAGCCCATGGGCAGGGGGTATATTCACTTAGCTAACACAGATAGTCCCCGAACTCGTAATAGAACTAAAATAAGGAAATTAGGAATTGAATTATTGCCTAACCTGAGCCTGGTACACATACTACGGGAGTACCATAAATTGATATATGGGCTGATTAAACGACCTTATTATATTGAAAAAGCTATCAATCTACAATTATATTAAAATGTTGAAATCACAGATCAAAAGACCAGCCTAAGTGATTCAAGAGTCTTGCTGCACACTAACACAAGTATATTTCTGTAACCAAGGTCAGACTTCTTCAGACTTACATAGAATAGCTGAACTATGTATGCCTGAAGAAGTCTGACCTTGGTCGGACGAAACGTTACAGAAATATATTTGTGTTAGTGTGCAGCAAGACTCTTAAATCACTTAGTTAAGATAGTTATCTTTACTCTTGCTACAGCATCCTTGCATTATATGCATATGGATCCACCGGCACAAAGTAGTTAGTTTCGCAAAAACCAAATCATTATCAAAAAGACCAGAGTTTGACTCCTTGCGCATACCATAATGCTATATCAAATGAGATAAATTGTGCTTGAAAAATGCAAGAATAATTTCAAACATAGAATTCTAATACCTGGATTGTTGTGTGGAACATTGTTATCATCGAATAAGAAAATTAAAATTCATTGTGTGTCGAAGACTCCCAATATCAGTTAAATATTTCGTTACTGTGAACTGTTCAACTAAAAAAACAAACATCACAGGACACCTTTAATTCGTCCTAAATGGTTGAAAACGTCGCATCGTCGAGTGAAAACTTAATTTCGTTTGGTAGGTACCACACGCATAAAACCAGTGGGTGATAAAACGAAAACTAGAAAAAAGTTGGAACTTCCATTTGAGCAAAAATTGTTTCAGTTGAAATTCGGAATACGTGATAGCAGCTACCGAGTGCAAGGCCATTCATAAGAGTATTCACGGAAAGCAATATTACCATTTACCAAGGTGAAATAATCGAAACAGACTCAATTTTACCAGAGTGTCTAGGGTAGGGGTGGGCAAGGTTTCAGGACCAGGGGCCAAGAATTTTGCCCACCTAGACTCGCGGGCCATATAAGTGTGACGTACTGAGATACATTTTATGAAAAATATTTACAGTGTTACAAATCAGAAGAGGGGAAATCAGACTCGTGCCAAAACTAAATTTAATGGCAATCTCAATAAATTCTTTGAGCTTTTTTTTTAGCTGAACATCAAAATTTAGTTTTAGTTTGGTTGTGGCAGCATCAGATTTGACACGCAGGCCGTAGTTCGCCCATGTCAGGTCTAGGCTATGAAACAAAACTCCACAGTTCCACACTAGTTATTATAAAGTCTTCTTCTGATGATAATATATCACTGTTGTAAGTTTCACATTTCATACTTCTGCCGCGTTTTAAATCATTATCGATCCAGAGTCCCATTCCAAATGACCCTCTTCCGGGTCTTAGTTGACCCGTATTTGTTCCGCCTATAGATAAATAGTCTAAACCACAATTCATAAAATAACTATTTTCGTGAGACCAAGGGAAAATCGATACTTCAGGTTTTACTTTAAATAAAAAACTCTCTCCCGTGCCGATAAAAAGTTTTTCCTTTATGCGAGGAAGTGAGGTGTTGAAAGCACCGAAGACGCAATCATTTGAGTCCGAAATGATTAAAATAAAAGGAGTGATTTCGTCCCAAAGTTCAGAGTTTGACGTCCATGCTCTACAACGTCTATAGAGTGTTTGAAGACTGTATCCATGTTCGTCACTATTGTATATTTGTGTAATTTTTTTCCCAAAAGTTCGTGCAGGAAGACTCGGAGAAATTTTCTCAAAAAGTTCTTCAGTGATTAAATTACTTTGTGATAGTTCCTCAGTATCATGTAATTTATCTGATAAATTCTCAATTTCAATTGCTATTTCTTTGTTTTTTTTTAGCGCATTTTCATCCAATCCAAAATCCAACAATTGATTAGTTTTAAAAATTTGCATCTCAATAAATTCTAACTTTTCTCTGGAGTTCTTCTTCATTTTTTGCAATTGACCTTAGAAGTTGTCTTTGTATCACTAATCATGACAGGAAACTCAGCTAATTTGTCTGTTATTTCGCTGTATTCCTAAAAATAGAAGAATAAAATTATATTTTTATCCAGCATTCTTCATCTGTTTAAAGGGATCCAATATACCATGTCCCGTCAAACTAGTGCAGCCTCGCGAATTTAAAGAATTTCCACCTACGGTACTTTCTTGGTTTTATTGAATATTTAAATATGATAGGGTATCAAACGTGAACAGTTTTTAGTTGCACTTGATATCCAAAATAATTCATATTACTTTGCATTGGAATTCTTTAAATTGAAATTACATACATTTCCTTTAACCTCCGAATGCACGAGCAGGTTAAAATTGCAAGCAAAACTAAACCTAAACTTGATCAATCTGTTGAGGGCGCTTGGTGTGTAACACTCTTACTAATATGAAATAGATAATATTCTTCACATAGCTTTCCCAACTACAGCTGATAAACTCATATATCAAACAGAACAAATATTTTTCTTTTTATTCGGCCTTCGAACGACCCATTCCACGAAACTAAAGTATCTCTAAAATATAATATCTCTAAATATATAGATAGCAATACCATGACATGCCAAATGGTGTGACTAATAACAATTGGCAGAAATTCACCAAATATGTGACTGTATAACTAACTCATTGATCAGTTGTACGCACATGATTACGCAACCTTTTATTTTAATTGTAACAGGCCAAATGCCGCCGTGTTGTCTGAATAGTACCAGTGTGAAATAGAACAAATGTAACTATTTACTGAGCGAAACGAACTGTCTATGACTTCATCCCACGCTATGCATAACTGGTCCACATAACCGTTGCCGTCATTCTCCATTGCGCAAGAAATGACGTGGACTAGATTTCCTTATTTCTGAGCAAACCAAGCTTTTCGTTTTTCCAAAGCCACGATCTGTGTTGGTATTCTCACAACATAATCTACGCGTAATCAGTGATGGAATTCAACATTTTAAGGACGGGTTCTATTTTGTCTCGAACTTACTAACAACATTTCACTCATTTCATATATTTATGTCATTACTTAGGCTACATTGATATGACACGTTTAAAATAAATATTATTATTACATTACTTTCCGAACGTCATATATTACGCTAGCTATCAGCCGATGACATGTAACTATTTCTACAGTGGTCTAAAACAAAACAAAAAACAGGAACGGGTCCCTGATCATCACGATATTCCAAGAATGGTTAGGCTTGAAATATTGTTTCTCACCGCTGCGCGTAATGCAGTTGAAATGATGTTGTGAAACCTGAAATTACCTAACATACGATATGATGTAGATATAATGCAGTGATCTTTTGCAACAATACATTACAAATACTATATGTTTAAACTAAGTATTGTCTCTGCCTTATTGGACACGTAGTGGACATAACGATCGTTTCAAAATTTTGTTGTTATTGTTATTATTTGTCTCCATCATTTTTAAAAAAATCCCTTTTCTCTTTGACTACTGGACCAATTAATTTGAAATTTTCAGTGAGTAAAGATTGATTTTTTTGCCAGAAGGCTATTACTTTTATTTATTTCTAAATTTCGCACGAAATCTGATATTTCGTCTAAAATTTCGCTGTATCATTTTATTCATGGGAACACTGGCTGTCCGATTTGATTCTGTAAATTATTCCTACGCGAAACTCGGAATTTTTTGTGGGTACCGGTGGCGTCAAAGGTAAATACTGCTTCGCTCTGTTTAACGTGTCAATATATTTAAGCACAGCTCTCTTGTTTTCATTAAATCCACATATTGAAACGATGTTGTGAGACTTGGAATGACTTATCAGACGATGTAGATGCCACACATATAGGTATATGCAGAGGTAGATTGCTAATATTATATGTTTGGATAGATATTATGAGTAAAGCGCACGAGTTAAACAAAATTTTTTTCTGTCCAATTTTCATTCAAATCCACATAAAACAAAGTACGGAGCTCTCTCATAAAGAAAATTGAGAAAAACGAAAGAAGACACTGACGGACGAAGACTTAACTTGCAAAAATTACTGCTCTGCTTGTTCTAATTCCTCTGCTGTACATTTCTACAAATAAGAACTGCACTGTACATAACTTCAAATCAGACTGCGTAATATTTTGCCAAAGGCTAATTCACACGTGTAGGTTTTACGTGAAACGTTTACTTAACAGCTGATTATTACGTCGGCGTGAATGAAATTTTTATGTCACGTGATGCGATTGCGCAGACAGAGCTGTACGTTTGAAAGTAGATTGTCTAAAATTTAAACCGCAGAAATCTTATACTTCAATAGCGAACAATAATTATGAGGATATTATTTAACATCTATGGAAATAAACAACGCATCTTTTCTGGCATAGAGAAGCGAGAAGAGACTGTTGCTGAAAATTGAATCTGTCATGATTCCAAATATATCACAAGCAATCGAACTTATGACCAACACTCATTGACTAGCTATTTTGAATCGTTCTTTTTACTGAAACAAAACCAATTGCAACAATTTAAATATTACTCTGAATGTTGCATCATTATGACAAATGTTTTTGAACAAAGTTTCACCGAAGCAAGGATAAGGGAAATTCTAAAGCAAGGTGGATTTCTGCACGTGGGAATAACCGTGGAGCCTAAAGTTCATCCAAAAGATGACACTGCTGTTGATTCATAGAGTGAGTCTGATTGTTACGTAACAATTGGAAGTTTGTCACAATGCTTAAGAAACTACGTGATGAATTAGTCATAGATAACTTTGCGTGGTGCAATGATTACTTTATGTGAATGCAATAAATTAATTTTTTATTAACAAAATGTATGAACATACAAAAATCTTTCCAAAAACCTAAAAAAATTCCGAAAACCGAATCAAATTTTTTAATATCTCCACTGTTTTATTTTGTTGGTTCACCCAGGGACATAGCCAGTGGGTCATTTTGGGGGTCGGAAACCCCCTTTTAAAATGTAAACAAAATAAAAACAGCTTTCTGTATCATACATAAAAAAAATCGTAGTTTGAAGCGCTTTTTAGACCCTCAAGACTCATGAAAACACACGTTTTCAGGCGTTCGGCCAGACCCCCTTGCTGTTTCGATCTAACTTGGCAATTATAAATTTCAGAGCCTCCCCTTTCAAATTGCTGGTTACGTCCCTGGGCTTACCTATTGACTTGAAAAAGTCTAAATGCAGAAATAGTTTTGCAAGAATCGTCAAAAATTGCCATCCAACGTTGAGAGCGCGTATTTTTTCTTCGTGCGGCATTTTATAGATATTCCCTGATTTCACTCAGTCGTTCACTTCATAAGTCAAACAGATCCCGACTACATTCCAAATCCAACAGCGTTTTTAGTACAGGTTTTCAGAAAGTTGTATGAGCTGTTGTAATATGTGACAAGGCTTGGTATTTTGTTTTGTCTTGAAGCCTTGAATGGCGAAAATGTAATGCAATAACTTTCCGATTGCAGGAAATTGCTTCATATCGATACCAAAATATACATTCCGGTGCTTTGCTAAAAGGGGGATTTTTTTAACCATTCTGAAAAGGGAAAGATTGATTTCAGACGTTGTGAAAATCACGTCGTTTAACTATGATTTTCCGGTACTTCAACCGAAAACTATTTTTGGAAGAGGTCCATTGCTTTTGCCAACTTCTTTTTATATTCAGTACAATTTTTAATGGAACGTCATATAATGAAATGAATGAACACTTTACTAAACGAACTTGTTGCCAATTTATGTCATGCAATTACATTCATATTGTCAAATGACATTTTATGATATTTTGTTTAGCCTTTTTGTTCCTATCTTATCAATCTTTAAAAGTGGTTCCGTGTTGTACTCAGCAAGCAGATCTGAATTAACAGGGTGGCAAAAGTCTAAGATGAATTTCAAAATATTTTGGAATGGCATAAGAAGTAGTAAAAGAATTTATACGCATGTAATTAGCTGCTGTTCATATCAAACTTTATATGTCCTACAAGATAGCCGGCTGGACGATATATAGATGCGCCTGTGCTTCTAAAGCAGTCGTCTTTTTTCGGAACGCTAACAATTTATTACTATGTGAAAGATTCAAAAAAAAAAAAAATAAATTCGCAACAGATGTATGTATTGTAATTTTGTTCAGACAGGTTTACTTGTAACCAAAAATGCCATTGCCGAATAGGCAAGATCATTTGTCGTAATAAAATATGCATTATGATTACAATCACGGCTGCTGTCAACGTTCACCAAGTTGCTACCTCGATATAAATGCTTCTATGAAACAATCATAATCGACGATGCAATGTTTTTGACAGAATTTAAAATAAATACATTAATTATGGCAAATTTGAAGGAAATCTTCAAACGAAGAAAAAGAAACGCGGATGAGCATGAACATTCAGATGCTATAAATATGAAAATATTTAAAACCAACGCTCAAGAACATTTTGCTATAGAAGAGACTAATTTAGGACAAAGTGAAAAAATTATCACAGAATTGGAAGAAGAATCAGAGAAATGGTTCGATATTGAAGAACTATCACAAAGTAACCTGCTTTCTAAGAAAATTTTTGATAAATTAGCGGACAAGTTGCCTTCGAAAACGAATTGTAAGAAGCTAGATTTGATCTACAGTAGTTTTAATCATGGTTTCAGCCTTCAGACCCTTTATAGACGCAGCAGATCGTGGGCATTGCGTACGGAAGCGTTTGACGAAATAACTCCTAGTATTCTAGTTATTTCCGATTTTGAGGACAATGTATTTGGCGCATTCAGTACTTCACTTCCAAAAATCCGAAGTCATCGTTTTATCGGCACCGGAGAGTCATTTGTGTTTACGCTAAAACCGAAACTGACTATTTATTCATGGTCTGAACGAAACGAGTACTTTATGAACTGCGGTAAAGATTATTTAACCATAGGGGGTTCTAATAAAAGTAAAACTCTGAATGAAACTGAACAACTAGGAACGGCGCTTTGGATCGATGATGATTTAAAATTCGGCAGAAGTATGAAATGTGAAACTTTTAATAGTGATATATTGTCATCGGAAGAGGATTTTAAAATAGCAGAGGTTGAACTGTGGACTTTTAAGTAGTTTTAAAAAATTTTTGACACGACGTTTGCCTATATATCGTTTTGTTAATTCGATGTTGTTATCAGTATTTTCCCTTTAATGCTCGTTGTTCTTATCGTTGCTGTGAAAGATTGCTTTCTTATGAACCAATGGAAGAATTTATTTGAAAGTGGTTAAAGATTGTTGTTGTTGCTAGTTATTGACACTTTTTTTCAAAAATGATGGAATTCGTTTTTCAAATTGAAATTTTGTGTGATGACGCCAAAAGTAGAAAATTTGGTGGTGAGTGAAGTAGTGATTGTTTGTAAGGAAGACTACTGTTACTGTGAAAGATTCAATACTACTTTGTCCTGGTTTCCGTGCCCATATACTTGAGCATTGCTCTCTTTTTTATGTGGTGGTTGTTCTATAAAAGATTATATTCAAGTTTAAGCAACCCCATCAGTTTGAAAAAAATTATTAAAGATAATATATTGTACAGTATTTTTCTTTTTGTTTTGTTGCATTTGTTCATTTTATCTCAATTGTAATTTTTATTTCTGCCACAAATAAGACTTGTATAATGATTAGACCTGCGTGGAAATACGTCAACGAGCGTCACACTGAAATCATAAGAGTTAAAATTAAGAAGAAATACAGTTTATGTGAAAACTTCAACTAATAGTGAGTAAGGGGCATAATACAATATTGAATATTTGAAGAAACATTTTTTACATCACACACCGATACGCTGTGTTAATACATAATTACGTTTTTCAATTTTTTAATTTACAGCATGAGGGATATTAGCTTTACTTATCCATTTTCGAAAACGTTTTTGAGTTCCATGGAACCCGATATTTCACCAAAAAAAAATCTGTTTTATTTTAACCAATGGAAAATTTTATCATGGCAACTTTTTTATATGACTTTCGTGTCCATATCGTTGAGCTTTTCTCTTTTATTTTGAAATTGAAGTTTTATTCAAGTTAACTAATTCGGTATTCCCGTAGTATGTGAACCAAGATGGCGGACACCGGAACGTAGTATTTGTACCAGGTCAGGGTTAGGCCATAATTTCAGGTATAAAAACTACAGGAGTCACTTGGCTAGTCCCCGAACTCGTAATAGAATTTAAAGAAGGAAAATTGGGATGAAATTATGGCCTAACCCTAACCTGGAACACATACTACGTTCCGGTGTCCGCCATCTTGGTTCACATACTTTGGGACTATCATTAATAGATGTATTTTGAATTTAATCACAATGTACGGTCCACTATTATTATTTTCTTCTATTTCGATATTGATTCATATCTGGAGTGGATTAAATCCTTGATATTACAGTAACTTCAATTGTTTTGTATAATTTCCAATCATTCAGTGTTATTGTATATTTTTCTTTAAAATAAAATATTTATGTATAGAGTCAAAATGGAATTGGAAAGTTCCAGGTTTATATTGTCGCTACCGGATATTCGTTCCGTGGAGCACAAATAAGTAAAATGAGTTTATTTGGAATGCATATTCATATATAAGGATATGAAAACATGATCATATAGGCCCGGGAAATAACATTTTAGGGCACCAGGCACTCACTATCGAGTTGTTGATCAGTTTTCATCAGGTTGGCATTTCGAATAAAGTTTCCAAAAATATCGGAAACCAGTTCAAATTAGCCAGAAGTTATCGCCAGCTGGCGTAACCGATAGGTGACCTATAGTATATTTATGTTTTACAACAACAAAGGCAATGTCACAAATATATTTTTTTGTGACAGCAACCTTTTGTTGCTCGCGGGCCAAAATTAAAGGTTGCAAGTCATTTACGGGCCGTATGTATATTCAGAAAGTTGAAAACCAAACGGATGATACTTTTTATAATAAAAATCAAGCAGTGATACATCTCTAGAATAGAATATTGATTTAATTCCTCATTGCATTGCATCTCAAAAAATTAGAATTTTTTGGCGCCATTGAACCTTTTGCATTCAGCATCAACTACTGCGTTATATTGCCAAACGAAACTATTTTCTCACCTACAAACTCTTAATTTTTAGTCCCCATTTTATCTTTAGCCAGGCTGAATGACAAGCCCTCTCCTTCTCTAAATCAATACAAACCTGTGCGATTCAAAAGCACTGGTTGTAATTAGGAATTATAACCAGTAAACGTAGAATAACTAGTAAAGATTTAGTTTTTTATTCATTTCACATTATTACTGTTGCATGCTGATGATATTATCCTGATCTCTTATACGCCAGCTATATCGATTTAATTTGTATACTTTACTGTAGCCTTATGTTTTCCAGTTCACACTGCTATTAACAACACAGCTCACACACACATATAATGGAAACTTAATAAAAAATTAAAAATAAATAAAACTGATTTGATAAACTACGTCAGGTATTGTTGTTTCGGGCGGTGGGCTGGAACTATCCTTCAAAATGTAGTTCCTTTTAGTTCCATGGAAACATCAGAACAGGTTATTTGAAAAAATTTGATTCCTAGTTTTCTTCTTGTTTCCTGCTTTGGGACATACCGATCGCTGTGAATTCTGCTGTAACCACCAATATACACATCTCAATCGCTAGTGTTTGAAAGCGACCGGTATGCTAATTATATAACAAAAAGACTAGTTACAGAATCAGAAAAGCAGAATAAAACCACATAAATTATAAAATCTAAATGATTTGAGACAAAATATGGCCTGGTATGCGGTATTCTACTGTAAAATATGTTGCGGCAAAAGATCAAGCACAGAACTCGAGTACATCCTGATCTCATTAGTTGAAAACTGTAAATTCTCATGATGCAATGCTATTATTTGAAGATATTGGTATGTATTTTAACCACTGAAGCGTTTTCCAAATGCACCGCCCAATAGACTGGCATACGGTTCAAAATAAGTACACAGAACGCATCAACGCAATACCAGTTCTCACTACTACACATCAACGGGACATACTAATTTGCGTTCGATTTCGGCAGGGTTGACTTTTAAAAATTCAAATCTCGTAAACGAAGTCCACTTTATGCAAATGGTGAACGTCAAAAATCTTAAAAAGTTATATAGAATCATATTTGCACAAAAATGTTCGAGTGATAATCCATTTTTAAAGTTACTTGTTATTCTTTTGCTCTCTCAGTCAATCTCAGGCACTATAACATAATAATAACTAGCTGAGAAGCGTATCCTGCAATGCAATTGATCAGTGTTTGTTCCGGAAATAAGTAGGATCTTAAGTTGAATTGCGCACACCCGTTTACGCCGAAATAATGACAAAAGGAAACAACTTGAACACAGATAAACGGCGACGCAAAATTCATTCAGCATGTAACAGGATGTCGTGCGTTGTGTTATGTTTTGACGTGCGTCTGTCGTTTGATTTAGTGCAGTACGTATTAGCACCATCACATCTTATAAGGAGTAGGCGATCAACATTGTTTTTATCAAGTCATACTATTTATACAATTGAATAAAACTATTTCATCTAGGCCTCAGTGGTTTTCAAAATTTTGAGCCGCGCCCCCCTTTTAGAATTTGTCAAGTCTCGCAGCCCACCTGAAAAAATAACTAGCCAACAATAGCTACAAATTACAGATGTCCAAAATGAGGAAAAGTAAATATACAAAAAAGAACGGGCAGGATTAAATCTAACAAATATGTATATTTCTGATTAGCTTCACACCACATAAAAAAAACCTCTGCAACCCCTCCATTGTGGGGCACTTTTCACCGTTTTAGAACAGCTACAAGAGATTTACAAGTAAAAGTCTTTTTATGCTATTCTGTATCTATTGCGGAAGACGAGGAGTAAGATGTTTGTACATATTAAGAGATTCTTATTCATTGCACGTGCAAAATGCATCTTTGCATCTCGAGACGTTAGCAAAACGCTTCCCTAGTGAATATGCATGTTTCATTATAAATAAGACTGACAGCAAGTATTTGATGGTGTTGGGGAACCTTTAAAATAAATTGCAGATCAATCGTTAGTGTTACACACAGGAAAGCGTCTTCCGTTCGCTTTTATAAATGTTACGTGAGATCGTGCCGTATTTCGTGACCGATCAACTTCAAGTCTCTTTGGAGTGAAGAGATCTGTTTTATTCCGCAGATTGCAATCATGATGAAAGGAAATATTTTAAAGCTTTGCCTGTTCTGCCTTATTTCAGTTATATTTTATGAATTGAGGCATTTCAACGTAGTTACTTTGACTTTTGAGCAACATGATGGAAAAAGTGATCGAAGAGCAGGTGAACTATTTCCTATGCAAATGCATTTTATCTATCATGTAAATTAGAAGATAGTTGCAGCATCTACATAGCATGCCCAGATATCATGATATTATTTACAGATAGATTCGTTTTTTATTTCAAGATTTCGATGTAGTTTATGTGTTGAAATATTATTAGTGTGGGTATTCTACCATTCTCATTTTAAATCTGGTAAAGGATAATTGAAGACTATCCAAGAGCCCCACAATCTGTCCCATGTCTGCTTGTACTGCTAATAAGTATATTTTGTTTATACAGGGTGTCCATGAAGTTCTATTCTTTTTTTCAAATTGCAAAGGAAATTTATCGATACCTTATATTGTTTTGGCCCTCACATATGTATTAAATTACTGATTAAAAAACAACAAACCTGGTTAAGATATACTAAGAACTACTTCATAACAAAATTAAAATTGTAAAGGGAATTTATTAACAATCTGTATATCATTATAAAACTGAAATTGAGGCTGAATCTCTAAATCTCTTTATCTTCAGATAAACATTCAACAAGAAACAGTGAATGGATCCAAGCAATAAACCGCAATATGGAAAAGGTAAGCATTCGATTTCATTATTGAAATATCATGTCACTTTATTACTTTTGTAACATTGACATTCTTATGTCAATTCCGTATAAAATTGATATAATTTCTATTTTGTTTTGTCATCTTAAGAATGCGGCGCAGAATTGAGCAGCGGTTGAATTTTTGTATGCGTGTGTGTCTGCGTATTCAGTATTCATGCATTTCTGTTTGTGACCTTATTATCGAACAGTCGATCGCGAGCTATTTTAAAGGTGTTGGTCGATCGCGGTCGAAAGCAGGTCGGCCACCCCTGCTTTATTATAAGCATGCAAATAAAAAAAGCATTTAATAAAACTTCACAAGCCTATACATGCAAAATTTGGCGCTTTAGAAGTGTGTGTACCAATATGAACGTAAGTTATTTTGTTCGCCTACTTTACATCAAGTTGTATATTCACTTGGCTAACACAGACAGTCCGTGAACTCGTAATAGAACTAAAATATACTCAGTTCAATCAAAAAGATTAGAGAAAATTGGAATAAAATTATGGCCTAATCCTAATACGTATTTGCCCTGGTATATATATTACGGAAGTATCCAAAAATTTTTGGTATGCGCGAGAGTGTCATGTGACGGAAATGACTCATTATTGGATTAAACACATGGAAAGTTTTCGCTTGCTATCCAATCCTTATTTTAAATAAAGCGTTCTTCCTTTTCCATACTCGCAATTAGAAAGATTAAGAGTCATAATCCAATTTGTACTCAACATGTGAATCTGGAAAGCTCAAAAAAAAAATAAAAATACAGTTTGTGATCCTTACTAAATTAATTTATCACAAATGATCAAACAGGCCGAACAACGAAAACATCGCTTCCCCGACGTTATTGGAATAGGAGTACAAAAATGCGGTACTCGAGCAGTGCACAATTTTTTGCAATTTCATCCTTATATCAGAGCGTTGAAGTACGAAAGTCACTTTTTCGATCAAAATAAGATTGAGGGATTGAATTATTACAGGTGATATTTCATTAACATTTAATATTCATTATTTGTAATGCCTGATAGATATTCAACACAATGTTGAACTCTGGATAAATTTGCTATTTTTTGTTGGGTCGACTGCCCGCAACGTATGCAACCGGTTCTAAGTTGTTTGTACCTAAGATGAAAGAAGCAGATAGAAGATTATTAGTTTGATTTTTTTTTCAAAATTGAGTTCGATGGGACAATATACGTCACCAACGGTTTTGCTATCATATTTCAAGAAAAGCACTTCATATTTCGTTTTGCTTACTGATATTTCAGCAAACTTGGTAATCTCACATCTTACTATACTAGTACCGATGTACCTACCTCCATGTCTAAATACAGAATGTCCATAAAGTCCCTTCACAATTTCAATTAACTATGACTTTACAAATAAGCAATTTACCAACGATTTTAGAATTTTGACACCATTTTCAGGCAAATTTTACCCACAGCTGCAGATCATGAACTAGTGATGGAAAAAACACCGGCATACTTTCGCACACTGTCTGACAATCTACCTCAAATAATGCATCAACTGATGCCAAATTTAAAAATAATTATCATTCTATGCAATCCAACACGACGGGCCCTATCAGGATTTGTCATGGCGGTGAGTTCTTGGAAGAAGAACACAAGATTTTTGGGCAACAAAAATGAGCCACGAAAGCAAAACAAACGATTTTGAATTTCAATCCAATACAATGCAGTGTTTTTTGCTTTCGTGGCTCATTTTTGTTGCCCAAAAATTCTTGTGGCCCATTAACTTTTTATTACAAGGGGAAAACTACAAGAAAAATCAGGACCTTTCTGCAAAAATTTCAACGTTCATAATTAGAATGGAAATTACCACTTAGTCGCAGAAAACAGCATCGTCATTGATTGCTGTTACAATCAAAACTAACTATTGTGACATAAATAAAACTAGCAATTTTTAATAGTTCTGTGACCGAGCAGTGGGCCACGACCCACTGGTTGAGAACCAGTGTTGTTTTGATGGAAGGCAGTCAGCACATAGAGTGAGTAAAAAGTAACTCTTCCCAAATCAGTCTAAAAGTCACATCTAGTTTCAGTGAGTTTTACCCAACTAATCAGTTTTAATGTCGTTTTTTTCTTCACTAATGATTCAATTTCTTTCTTGATTCGTTTAAGTATACAAAAACATTTATAAACTTATTCTGATGGCGGTTATTTTTTACAGCAAACTAGGAACAACAAGTCTGAAAACTTCGATTCATATGTTAAGGGCGTTTCACTAAAAAATTTGTCAGAAAATGCGAACAAAGTACAGCCACAACATATTTATAGAGGGATATATCATGCAAACATGGGTAGATGGATTAATGAGTTTCCTGATTCTCATTTTATCATCAATGGAGAGGATTTTTTAGTAAATCCTGGACTAGTGATAGAAGAATTGCAAGATTTTCTTAAAATTCCGAAACTGCTGCGCCGAGAGGATTTTTTTCGAAACGAAACAACTGGTTTATTCTGCGTTAAAAAATGGTGGGAAAAGGAAATGGTTTCTGAAAATTGGAGCGAAAAATCAAACGTGGATTCTCGCTTATTACATAAAGGCATGACTCGATCTAAAGTCGCTTTACCTCAATTTTCAATGTCGAATAATACCAGACAAGTCTTGAATGCCTTTTACAGACCACACAACGAAATTTTATACAAAATGTTAGGAAGAAATTTCGGATGGTAACGTTATCTTTGAGTTGTTCATTTCAGCTTTTAATCTACTACATTAGGGATGTGCAACCTTTAAATCAGGAGGGCCAGATACAAATAACTGGGTAAAACCTCGGGCCTCACTTTTATCAAACATATGCTATATGGTAGTTGCAGGCACTAAAATGTTGGCTATTGATCTTATGACAAGGGTTGTTCGCACAAGTTGTGCAAACATTGTAAAGTCATAGGCATAGATAAATTGGACTCAAGTGTAGGTTTCGCAATGCAAAGGGATTGGATTTACTTTCACGTACCAAATTAAACTAAATTGAAAACTCGTTTCGGGAGCTGCACATCATTCGAAATTGGCACTTCTCCGCGAGGCGCATAAATTTTCCTTGGGGGCCGCATTCGGCCTGCGGACCTCCGGTTGCATACCCCTATACTGCATAATATAGGCTATACCTAACTTTTATGTCGATTGAATGGTCAAATTTTGACAAACTTGCAACGAAAATTATATAAGTTTCAACCAAAAAATGTGCTCATCATGTTTTAGTTAAAGATGTTAAGACAAGTTGTAAAAGCTGTGAGACTGCAAGTCTCAATTCTATGAAATGAGCGTATGGAAAATCCATGTATTATATCTTTGTAGAAAATATTCGAAATTTTCAGTTGTCTGTTTATTTGGTTAGACTATACCAAAAATGGAAGACTTTTTCCGTAGCATTGAGAGGTTCCGACCTTGGATTTAGAGGCAAACTGCGTTTTTATTGAATTCCCAAATTTTACAAAAAATGATATTCAAATTTACACATAAATGTGAAAAAACGAGGTGCAAGCCGAGAACGTGGTAAAGTTTCATTATTTTATTTTGGAAATTAGCGTTTTCATTACGTTTCATATTCTCGCGAAGCCGCCTAAATCTTTTGAAATGTTACAGTAATACAAACTTGGTAATTTACCGGGTGGTGATACGTCGCTTAATACTCATCTCCCCATACATAAATAATAGCAAAAATACAATACCGATTTAAATACTTTTTTATAATCGATGAATATAATCAATGAATATTTGATAACGTTATAACAAAACTACACTTTATTTACAATAGCACATTAACGGAGTATATAGTTTTTATTTATCTGAAGTAGTTTTTGTTCGTGATATCTCTAAATTGTGTAACGGCTTCATATATGAAAGAATGGAAAGCCATATTATATACTCGTTGTTAACTCGGCGGGCTATTACAATCGAAATAAATTTGCTATTGGCGATGGAAGTCCGAAAATTGTGGAGCGTAATTTACAATCACTCAGCAAAGCTCGACTGGACGATCGGTTGATTTAGGACATCTTTTCGGTCGATTTTACTTATCGACAAGCGTATATTTCGCTGATATGATCCATGGACGTTTCTTACTGGACTATCTGCCCTAGCGGGCTCAAGCTCGGAAGTACGTTTAACAGCGCTCCAGAAGTGTGTGTACCAATATGGAGGTAACTAATTTTGTTCGCCTACTTTACATAAAGTTGTGTAAAGGAACTGGAACCTATGGGTAGGGGTTATATTCACGTGGCCAACCCATACAGTCCCCGAACTCGTAATAGACCAAAAATAAGGAAAATCGGAATGAAATAATGGCCTAACCTTAACCTGGTACACAGACTACGGGAGTACTCAAATTATATACTCGTTGTTAACATCTAGCGGCAAGCTATTATATTCGAAAGAAGATCGCTATTGGTGATGAAAGTCCCAAAATTGTGGAGCGTAATTTACACACGTGTTCAGCAAAGTTTGACCGAACTATCGGCTGATTTAAGATATCGCTTGGTTGGTTTTACTATCGACGAGCGTATATTTCACCGGTATACGTATGACTCTACCAATGGACATTTCTTACCGGACTTGCTGCCGTAACATGAAGACCACGCTCGATTATGAAGTATGGAAATATAACTGCAATACCTCTTGGTTTCAACACAATTGAATTGTATATTTCATGACATGACGTAAAAAGTGACGTGTTTCAAGGGAGCTCTCTCTGGCGCCCAATGCGTATAGCTAGGTTTTATACCGATTGCTCCGTATGTTGGGTGAGCGAACACGTACTACTTCTTTTATCAATACCTTTCCATCTAAAATCTGTACGTTCCAAACCTTACTCTAGGTTTTGTTCGCTTTCCCGATTCTATAATCAGTTACTTTTACTTTTGTTTTTATCTATTTTTTTTTATCGTCTATTGCTGATTATGGAGTCAAAATAAACTTATACTTATACTTATACATATACATGTTAAAAAACAAGGATCGAGTTGTTTGCGATGGATCACTTACTTCACTTTCGTTAATTGTAATGAAGCCTTACCGAAACGATATATATAGTAATAGCAAAATACCGGCAATCGAGCCTCGCGCATTGTTGATATATGTGATTTTAATATATCTGTTGATATCATCGTTGATATTGTTGACGAATCTCTTCACCTGAGCCCACATGAGACGAAACGTCTGGCCCCGAATGTTCATGTGCCGAAACGTCTGTAAGTCGATATCGACATGACAGGAACCTCGCTTGTAGTCCTGACGTATCGCAATAACGATCATTCTGGAGACGAACTGTACATATAGGATACAATTTACCTATTTATCCCGAGGAAGGGGAAGTCGATAAGGCAGCTAATTCACGTGGCGAACACGGCCTCTCGTACTGTTACCAATTCATGTCCGGTGTAGGATTAGTCAGCTAGTTATTTGTTTTAGATGCACGAACTTGAGGGTAGAAGAAGCCGTAACTGACCAGCGCGTACGTGAAACTCCCTGCGTAGAGGGAATCCGTTCGTACATAACTATCTCCGCGTGGGATACGAACCTGCGAACCCACGCAGGGCAGAGGTGCGAAGGCGAGCGTAGTCTTAACGCTTAGATTAGACGATGTGCCACGTCGCCGAGTCATATGGGTCGTTATCGATCATTGCTCTCTTGTATTAACAGAAGCATGTCAGTAGCCGTGCCCATTTCTAGTTTATCGTAGTATATACATATTTATACTTCTGTTGTCATATATACAGTATAGTGTTGCTGCCACAACTAAGTCATAAGGGTTTCAACACATCTTATGAGGTTTGGAAGTATAAAACAAACACATCGATGAAATTACTACAGAGTCAATATACTTAAACAGAAAACAAAAATGTCCTCTAATACAATACAATAAAGTTCGGGATCTTGTACGAAGTCCCGCCACCAATGCAAAAGTGTGAGATTTGCGAGAAAACACCCTCGCCGCGTTTCAATATAACAAATTAGTAATTATGCTGTCAGGGTTAGGGATTGGTTTAGGAATGATTTTGAAATTTGAATTTCCAGCGCAATTAGCATTCCTAGCCCTCACCCTAACCCTCAGTGGATAAATACTATTTTTTTTGAGCGGTTGCAGGGGTGTTTTTTGACAAAAGATCTAAATTTCAAAGCACAAATCTACGTCCGTTGGTAAGACAATAATACGATAAGTAGGGTTCAACGTCCGTTCGTTTTGCTGGTTTCTATTCTATCCCTTCATCGGCGTCCATCATGCCATCATTGAATGAAATGAGATCCTTCGAATTTGAATTATTAATTTTGCACAAAAGATAATTCCTTCTGCTCCTTGAATAGTCTATTAGTAGTAAAATTCAACGACTCTTGAGAGACTCTTTTCAGTTAGCTATTGGAGTAGATTAATATTTATTGCGGTCATTTTCAAGCGTCAAAGAAGGATTTGACAGTAGGCTTACCATATGTATGAAACTAAAAACCGGGACAGTGCGGATTTGACAAACCTTGGTTCGATTCCTACTTATATATACTTCTTATATATACTAATCACATGAAAACAGACACTTTCTTTTCGGCATTTTGAATAATTTATCGGCAGTACAGTCGACGTTATATTTTTAATTGAATCATAACATATAACGATGATTACGACATAACAATATAGTAATTCTAGCTCTGTCACTAAACTGGTGAAGTGAGTGTCAAATCCGTGATATATTGACTGTATTAATTTTAAATATTTATGACTGCCATATTGCATGTCCGGGACATTTAAGTATACCGGGCGGGACACAGGGACGGCTTTTCAAAACCGTGACTGTCTCGGCTAAACCAAGACGTATGGTAAGCCTGAGTTTGCTAGTTACTTTGCAAAGTCAAATATTTTTTTTGTATTTTATTTTAGCACATTCCACGCTGCCCACATATTTGACAATTATCTTACTGAGTTGAAAACACATTTCGATTCCGGGGATTTCCAATATGAGGTAATCCTCGCCCACGAGTTGTTTACTTTGTAAGGAGAATCTATAAATGGAAAATTTCGCTGAAATGAAAACAATGGCACAGTTAAAATAGTTTTATTCCTCACTTGCTGGTCACTAGTTACAGTTAATATTAGCTAAATATCGTATTCATTTTGTATATTTGCAACAAAATTGATTATGCTATGCAGTTAAAAATTCAATCTTTAGAATAAGCTACATTTATCGCAACTTAACAATTATATCTAGTTGGTGATTGATTTGTCATCGTACGAAGAATTTATGTATCTTAAATTACCGGGTAAGTTTACGGTATTTTTGATAGCCTAGGTCTCTGAATGGAATGCTGATTGACCGAAGAATGCCGGCTTTATTTTGAGAAACAACGTGCGCGCACAAACAATGGACTCCTTGAATGAAGAAAGTCTCCTCATAGTATATGTAACGTGACAGAAATCAAAACACCGCCCCACATTCTGACAAATATATCACAGTTAATCTGTCTATTCACGGCATATCAACATTCGCAATATTTGTTGAAATACTTTGGAAAATTTAGGAATTACTATGCAGTTCTTTCTTACCAAGATTTACACTGTTTGAGGCATTTTGTGGTTAGATTATCTCGTATACTTGTACTGTAGAACTATCAAACAAGTCTTATTTCGAACCATGGTTGCCGTGTTTTAGGTACTCCAGAAAATAAACGCAAGTTCGCCGCAAAATTGAAATATACACGGAAAGAAAGAAAGGAATCGTGCAAACCCCAACTCAAGCGAACTTTAATGAAATTACTAAAGAACTATTTCTGTGCAGGTGTCAAGTACGTATTTGTAACCCGCGATCCATGAATGTATGATATGACAACTACTAGGTACTTCTTGTCGCCTTTTATATTTTAATTATGACAGATGGCTGTGTACTAGACACACAAGCAAAGGTATCTTGATAGCAACACCACCAAAATTCTTTTTGCATGCCAGTGAATATCATACAAGCTTACTGCTATGAAAATATCTGCCATTGATCAGATAAACTTAGCTTTGTTTTATTTTTTTGGGGAAAAAGACGCGCGTTTTGTGTTTTCACACAGTTGTAAAATTTAGGCGCTTGATCAGCCAAGCTAATCTATCGTATTCAGGGTAAGCGCGCCGCTTAGTTGTTATCCATATGTCCACGAGAGACCGTTGTACATGAATTAACTATTTGAGCGTCACTGCAATGTCGCACGCAAACGGCGAATTATTTGTCTGAAGTATCCTAACTGACAGATATGGTATTTAGTCGCTTATTTGATACAATCTTGAGTAAATTAGTTACAGCAGACGTAGTTAAAACATTTAAATTACAGACTAGCATGGTGATGTTATATTCTTTGATCAGCGGCCTGCAGAATTAACGAATATATCGGTTTTTGCTTATTGAGAAATGGGTACTCCCAAAGTCTGTGAACCAAGATGGCGGACACTGGAACGTAGTATGTGTACCGGGTTAGGGCTAGGCCATCATAATTTCAGGTACAAATACTACGGGAAAATACACTTGGCTAGTCCCCGAACTCGTAATAGAACTAAAATAAGGAAAATTAGAATAAAATTATGCCATAACCTGGTACATATACCACACATCTTGGTACACATACTTTGGAAGTACCGAGAAATGTATATGAATACCCCCTACGACAAGCTAGGAAGCTCACTAAAATTGAAACTGCGACGAAACAGCTATAGAAAGGCAACGTTTCCGAAATCTTCAAATTTTTGGTTCTCAAGCTAAACTTTCAAATTCGTTCTGCGTATATTATTTTATTACAAGGCGGTTAATCATGGCGGGCCGCTGATTACCCATTTATTTTTCATCGTATTCATAACATGTCGTCGTGTTATTTGCTTCATCGAATACGACGTTCAAAGCAAATGAGAATTTCCCTTTACAAATATACTAAACCTTCAGCACAAACTTTACAACCGAACGAGCAATAATATTGGAATTCAGTAAACAATAAAGGGTCTTAAACAAATATTTACTTTTTGGAATTGATACCTTATCACAGTATCGACGAGGCGAATACAGCTTGGACGTTAATAATAAATACCAGATAAAATTCTGATCATGGTTTCGTTTTAGAGCTAAACATTTTGTGTAAGAAGAGGATAAGATTTTAATAATGCAGTTGATCTTCATTGTAAGAAACTGTATGTAGAGCAGCCTTAAAAGCCAGTAGACAGTAGTAAAAGTAGATTCCAAACTCTAAAATGTTTAATTTTTTTAATTAAATTACATTTTTTAAACTTGGGTGTCGCCTCTCGATAGCCAGTTTTTGTTCCCTGCGACTTCCCTTCCCCAGTAAAACTGTGTAATTATCATTTTCTCGTTCGTGTGTTAGACTGTCATAACGTGTTGTATTATGTGTATTCCGCAAACTTATGCACGAACTAATTCGTTATTTTCATTGCTTTTTGTTCAAAGTTTCATAATTATATGCCACTCAAGAACATATATTCAAGTCTAGTTCACCTACAGTCATAGGTTGTAACCATAAATCTACTCTGTCTTTCGCATTGGGCTCCTCATATTTATGTTTTAATTACAAAAAAGTGTGGGACTTGAAATAGGCGGCATTTACCTATATTTCAACGTAAATCAAACAATTCTGCTCACCCAGGATAAAATTAAACATGAATATTTGAATAACGTTTCATAAGGAAATACGCTACAATTCAGATTAAACTCGAAGTTATTTATGAACTAGTATTTAATTTTACATGATAAATTAGAATTTTTTCGAGTGTATTTGTGCAGCGAAAGGCGATATGGGATGGGTTTCATTTATTTGGTTAAGACTTAAGAATACTAATAATATTCTAACGGGTGTGGTTCGTCAATGCCTCTTTGACAAGAAAAGCCGAAAGCCTAATAAACGCATCGACGCGAAAGAAATCATTTGTAGCATTACACTAGTCTTGCATGGTCTGTGTTAGGCTTCAAAGTAGAGATAAGAGATACGTGCAGAATAACATTTGTTATTCATATATTTTTCTAACGAAATAGCGCAAATTATTCCCTTTTTATTGTAAATTTTTATGTCGCGAAGTGTGTTACAGTGTATACATCGAACTATACCATTGTTTTGATCACATTTTTGCTCGTTTGAGGCCCTTTTATCCCACACAAGTTTGCTAGGGAAGGCTCAACTAAATACCGTAGAATTGAAAGCACCCAACCAATAGAGTCGATAGGGAGATATCGCAGAATTCATTCGCACACTGGTCTGACTTAATGAAACAAATGTTAAAAACACCCTTGATCCACTTAATCTATTTCTAATTTGTTGATACTAGGCCTTCGTGTGCTTGTGTCGGTCCAGTTTATTTATTTTCAAGTTACAGATACTATCTATGGTCTTGTATGAAATCGTCATTATAATTATAATATACATAGACAGTGATGTGATAGACTGATTTTGTATGGGACACTGTTGCCCAAGTTTCTCCTTAAAATCTGCGTTAACAATGTTGCTATTGTTGGTTTTTGATTAAGTGTTCTCGTATTGAGGTTATAGTTATTAAACGGGCCCGCACATGATATTGTCACCCAATGTAGTTTCACCAATGTAGCCGTGAATGCGGGTTAAAGATTTCCAAAATTATTTCCTGACAAAATCATTTTGTTCTAAAGAAATGATTAAGTAATAACTTAACTGATCTTATTTATTCACTATTTTACTGTCCGTACGAAAACAACTTCATTGTTGTTTGTCTCACTGATTGTGTGTACAAATTGAAAACTGGCCCGACAATGGCTAATTTCGTCTATTCTGATAATATAGTTCTTAACGATTTCCATCACTTATAGATAATATCCATCTAATATTTTTAAATTTACAGTTTATTATTTATTTTTCCAAAGAAATGGGACCTGCACGACAGTCAAAGTCGTTATTTATTCTTAAAGTTGTTGCGATTTGGTTGACATCACTTTATAATGAATGTCAAGGTAAGATTTGCTCACAATTGAAATAAATTTTAAAAACTCAAACAATAAACTTGTCATGGTCTGATTATACAAATTGACGGCATGTTTTGATCCTCAAAAATCAAACTGTAGAATTGAAACATGTCATTTTGTTTGATCATAGCAAGGACACGGGTGTTCACTCATCCTCTCTGAGGAAAGCTAAACCCGCGGACCCCTGGGGATCCGTGATGACTGCACCCCCGTACGCAACAATATAAAAAGAGTCTGATCGACCGTTAGGGATTGGTTTCAATCAAAAAAGCCATTGCATCTTTTTGGTTGAGCGTCGAGGACAAATACCGGTATACATTGATGTCAAAAAACAACAATTAAAATGATATTGTCTTTTGCAACGACCTACATGTGCTTTTCAGCTTTTACCAATATGATGACAAAATACAGTTCGAAACTTGGGGGACCGTCAAAAATAATATTTACAAACAAGAGGTTTGCAGCCCAAAAAGTTTGGGAAACTCTGAGCTACAGGACTGTATAAATCTGAAAAAAAAAAAAACGTTTCAAATTATATAGAGTTTTCCTAAATACACATTTGCTATTTATATATGACAAACAAATGACGATGCTCAATATATAATTTTATAATAAAGGTTTGATTTATAACATTTCCAAACATTTTCAAAATGTAAATGAATGAATGCAATTTGATTTTTAGGTGAGTCAATAACTTCTGCCAACGAATCCGACAATACAACAACAGGTTAGTTCTAAAAGTCATTTTTAATACGTTAATAATATATGCGAAGTACCACTGTAAATTAAGTGCCAAAAGATAATATTAAGATGTTTTGAAATTACTAATATTCGAAGCCTATATATACCTGACATCCATCTATATCATCGGCTTTCAACCAGGGTTCCGCGGCACCCTGCGGTTCCGCCATTACAGCCCGAAGGTGGTTCCGCGTTACAGCCCAAAGGTTTCTTCAGCGAGTTCCCATTCAAATCCGAAAGTTTATATTGATGTTTCTTTTTTTAAATGTAATCAAATTCCGATTTGGTTGATGTAAGTATGTTGATAGGTATTTTTCTGTCTGTCTGTCCGTCTGTTAGATGCATGCGATATCTCACGAAAGCGAGGTCGAATCTGCTCCAATTCTGCATGTGCATTCATCATATTTCGGACCAGAAGCCAATCGATTTTGGATGAATTATGTCGTATAATTAGTGAGTTATTAATTAATTAGTGATGGGGCACGCAATGTCGCTATTAAGTCAGAGCGAAGGATACACGCCGCTAGATCGATAAGTCGGTATCTCCCGTCGCTATCTCGCTGAGAGTGTTGTTTGCGCATGGAAACGTGGTCTTGTAATAATCCCGAAAAGCGAATGTGGTATCGATTTCCCGGAAATAACACCGCTTTGTTTATTTACTTGGAAAATGAAAATGTACGACAAACTTTGGTATTTATGAATTGGGTTGCGCGAGACTAATTCCCCATCCTGTGCCTTTATGGTAGTGTATGCGTGTAATGAAAGAATGCTGTAGCGGGAATAAATAAGACTATACTATGCAGTCTTGTTGCACACGAACACAAATGTATTTACAACAAATTGCTTGTTCGGGAAGCCTGCTTTTAATCAGACGAAACGTTACAGAAATAAATTTGTGTTAGTGTGCAGCAGGTTTTACGAGTGTTGCATATCGTTATGATCAATGAAAAAATAGAATATACATGTGTTTCAGGTGATGTAACAACGTCACAGTTGGAGGGATCCGGAATGCAAGATTACTCAACAACAGTTAAAGGTTGGTTTTTGATATATATATATATATATATATAAATTTTGCTGTCGATGTCGAATTCAGACTCGTTCTTAAAATGTCGTAATAACCAGAGAACCCGCTTCTCTTTTTTATAGCTGTAATTTCGACAATTTTTTTTTGATATGAGGGAACCTGTTGTTAAGGAATGCAATACAAAATGAGTTAGATGTTCTCAAAGTTTCGATTCCCATATCGTTATAGATTTACACTGAAATTAACGCGCGTGATTTGTTGCAATTCTGTGGTTTATTCTTGTTATTCGCTATATGTCCTAAAACACAAAAAGACTTTATGGTCTGAAGATGCTATATTTTCCGCTTGTTTTGCTTGCAGACCTAAATTTGTGTCGACGTTTCAGACCAGGGATGCACTGATTATGGCCCGCAGGTAACATGTGGCCCGTAGAAGTATTTTGTGCGGCCCCCTGGACTTGGAAAAGTTGTGAAAACTTTTTTCTACAAACAAATTTATATTTATTTCATATCTAAACTTTGAATTCTAAACTACTATTAATGTGTTTCATAGCTGGTTCACTACTGTATATTAACTGGTAATGAGTTTGGTTCGGTCATTTTACTTGGCCAAATAAATTTGTGTCTGTTTTTACCTTTTCATCTAATATATTTATTTAACAATCTTTAATTAAGATGGAATATTTCACATCAACGCGGCCCTTCGCAAAAAATATTTTCTGAATGCGGCCCCTTCAAAAAAACGTTACCCGTCTCTGTTCTAAACTTATAACATACACGATAATTCTGAAATAGAAAAATAAATAAACAAATCATATATGTTGTTATACACGAGAACAGATAAATTAAATGTCATGTGAGAGTGAAATCTTGATATTATTATTGATAGAATCATCGAACTAGGAAAGAAAAAAAAAACATGTATAGAACTCATTTATCTTCTGCCGCCTACAAGGTGCCGCTCGGGGCGTCTGCTCCTATGACCCTCTTCTACGACCGCTTCTGATTACAAGACATCTCATTCGAGATCTTAATCATTAATCATCACTAGCACAATTGAATGTCATAAATAATAATTGGCGATTGTTCATCACGTTATATTTTTTCACAGTAATACCAGAGGGACCAAACTACGGTGGAATAATCATAGGAACGTTATTTGCAATCGCTGGAATTATAATCATAATAGCATTCATATATATGCTGAGCAGAAAGACGAGATTACAAAGAGAAGAAATTCCATCATTTAACAATCCGATTACTTTTGATGACGACTCGACTCTTTGAGATCACTTAATTAAAAAACCAACATTGACACGGAGCACGCATGGTCATGTGTCAAAAAATGTATGATAAATAATGAGTTTTCAGGAGGTACATTTGCAAAAAATAAGCTTGACGACTTCATGTTTAGCAACAATTGTAATAAATGACATCTCAAACTTCAAGACTTTCGTGACGATCCGTGGCCCCTAACTCTCAGCACTCTGTGATCCTCAACAAAACATAGCGAAAGAATAAATGCAATGCGGTTGAGGAACAAACAATTCACAATGAATTTACTTTAAATTAATTTAGTCATCACGAATGGTAGTGAGGGGATTCGCTTGTGCCTCTCCCACCACGAACCCTTCCGTGACCCCTGAGAGGTTCAAATTTCCAGATTCAGAAATTATTTCTTATATGAAATTTCCCGTCCAAATAATTTATAAATTCCAAATAATAACGATTTCAATTTTTTACAACTGAAACGTAGAATATTGAGCTCATGAAAATATTTTTAAATCGACTTTAAAAACAGGTAATACTTGTTTTATGTTATATTAATTGTTAACACAATATTATGCAATAAATACTTAAATAAGAGATGATAAATATTCATGTTTATTGTGTCAAAGCAGCTTCTCTTTCTACAAAATATTTGTCAGCGTTATTGAGCTAACACGAGCTTTTGGGACAAAGTAATAGTTTTTCAGCATCTGATCCATCTTTGAGCATTTGGAATCGATTGGCCCAGCCTGCATCGATCAAGCCTAACTGTCTACACTGCTTTCACTTGTGCGGGGTAAGAATAAAACCAACCAACTCCTAAGGACCTAAGATTTGTGCATTTCTGGACCATGAGGTTTCCAACCTTTTTTTTCGAGCAACCCAAATTTAAAAAAAATGGAGGATGTGCTAAAATACTAGGCAGTATGTAAGGGTGACCGTACATTTGAACCCATGTGTATATCCGCGGGTTCAATCTATATGCGGGAGCTAAAACCCATGGGTTAGGGTAAGTATGGGTTCAAATATCCGCAAAACAAAAAAAATTCATATGTGCAATAGTATGCAGGTGCAATTGTCGTGGGTTCAAATGTACGGGAACCGTATGTAATACTTTTGCCTCCAATGGTCACAAAATTAACTGACTGAGAGACAACAGCAAATGCCTAGTTTATATGCTGATATACATCCCATACATACAATTACTGGTAATAAAAGAAGGAACGTTCTGGTTTTTGTTGAAAAAAAAGATCTATGAAACTCTTTAGACTACATAGGTTGGGAAACACTGTTCTAGTATCTATTCTGGACCACCATCTCAAAGAAGTATCGTTCATACGTCGATTGAAATACTATACGGGAGCTAGCAATTAAAATTTAGTATTCGTAATCGCGGATTTTCATTTCCTCTACGAACATATCATTGATTTAAGTAGTTTCAAACTTACTGTCATCTACCTGAACGTAGGCATGTTATTAGGGTTTGGAAGGCCGCAGCAGCGCACAAAGAGAAAGAAGATTTGCGTAAAGATTTGTTTCGGTTTGACCGACTCGCTAAATTCTGTTGTGCTCTTGCCCCACCTCGCGGATTTGGTGCACGATTGTTTACGAAATACGTGTGAAAGGTCGTAGTACAGGGATGCCAGGGATGCCTTTTTTAACGAATGGGTCAAAAACTACACTGTCATTGTGAAAAATAAGACCGTAATTTATAGATATGTAATCAAAGTTTTCACAAATAGGAAACTTGTTACACTTTGCCCAAGCCGTACGTAATAACTCTAACATACTGGTTTGTGATAGTAGTTGTTATAGTATATATATTGTCTGATTGAATTAAACCCTGCATTATTATAAATTTTATCACAGAGTTGTAACTATGTTTTTTTGCATGACTTGGTGGGAATGACAAATAAACTCGATGGGATAGTTTGTGACCCGCGGGTCAATGGTTCGCCGTCTTTGTCCTGTACTAAATCACGGCACATGAACTAGGAAGTGTTTCTAAACATGTAGGAGTTTTGAAACGGGATGTTATGATTGTGTCTACAGTGAGTCATCAATTACAATCAGAAAAAGAAAGAGATTTACGCTTTAGGTTGAAACCAGCTTTAGAAGTTCCCAACTTGACAAGCAGATAATTAGACACAAGGATTAGTTGGTCATTGACATCGTCACATATACAGTATATATATGAATAAACGAAACGTTTTTACAAAACTCAAATTTTTATTAAACATTTTTTGACGCAGAAAATTCGCCAAAAGAAAATAAAAGCACTGAATCACTGAAAAAACACTAAACAAACATGTCAAACAAAGTTTTACCGTTGTACATGATTTTAAAGCTCATGAAAAAGACTTTTGTATATTTACATAAAGTAAACTTATGGTACTTTTATTGCCGGTAGTAGTCATAAACTGAATAGGTGTTCAAACGTATAAAATACAACTCTTGATTATCAAAAATATATTTTTTTTTTATATTTAATTCATATTACCTTCTTTTTTACATAAGCTAAATATTCATTTTGATTTTGTCCTATTTATGCTTTCAAATTAATTTGTACCTCAAAATAAATGTTATTAGTCGTTTACCTATTGATGGTATCAATTAGTTTTCGTGAGTATTTTTTGTATTTCATCAGAATGAAAATCCACGTGTTTTCTTAACGTTATTGGATGAAAAGACATCATATATTCATAACATAGTTACCATTTTGTATTCACATACGCCGTATACGCATAAAGCTTTTCAGTGTGTTCTGTCTGTATTTGTTTTCATAGTATTAACTGAAAGAGGTATCTGAGTGGAAGTCGTGAAAACTTTTACAGTACTTCGATTGAAACGCTGATATAAAACAGCTAATATTTATGCATTAACGAAGACTGATAGTTAAAAAGGTAACTAACTATGTTTCTGTATCAGCGTGAGATTAACATCGTGGCGATTTATTCTTGCAGTGTAGACTCAGGTTAAGACCATTTTAAGTGCGGGATAAGTATTTGTTCCACATTAGTGATTTCTAGAAACCGGATAGCTGTAGTCATACACGTTCGGGTGTACCATTTGCATGTGAATCGGTCGATCAGAAGCGCTAGAGAATTCTCTTTTAAAGCCAGTACAAGTAAATTGAATCGGTAGCCTACATGCATACATCGGATTGAGTTCGATAAATTTAGTTTCTTGTTGAAATGACTTTCTTGTCTGCGAACGCTTATGCCCGTGAACTTGATTTTCTCTATGTTTTGGTACAGGACTATTTCGTACAAATACTACAGGGGTCACCTTGCTTGTCTCCGAACTCGTGATAGAACTGAAATAAGGACTATCCTAACCTAATACACATACTACGTTCCGGTATCCGTCATCTTGGTTCACATACTTCGAGAGTACTAATATTTGACGCCACTGCGTATTTTGCTTGTATAATGAGACCTAAATGTAGCACGTGGTTGTTAAACGTGTACCTAAAAATACGAGCTTGTAGTTATAAGCCTTTAGTAGATGAAGTTTCTTAACAAAAACAGTCGACAAGATTACAGATGGATACGAATAGCTAAGAAGCATGGACTACGTATGAGATTACTAAGTCCACGCATTGAAATCCAGTCTGTGTTTCCGAATAACTATAGAAAACCTAAATAAACTAACTCGTCTTTTCAATAGCTTACGTGGAAAGTCTTGGCTCGAGGCGTAATATTTTGAGATATCACATGGTCGCATTTGTAGTTACAGTAGGATGGATAGAATGACAGAATTACGTTGTTGTTTTACAGTAGATATCGATATGATTAAAATCATGTTGTCAGTATATTGGCTGTGAGTGGGTGGGTGGGAAAATTACCAAACACTGAGGCTTATGCAATAACTTTCGTAGTTTTACCAAAACATGTTATCCGTTGTATTTTGTCTTTCTATATAAATCCTTACTGAATCAGAAAATATATATGAGCCTGAGCAATATTTTTGACTATCAGTTATTAATACTTGTTATTACTAATCTTCCTTGAAAGTAATTCTATATTAGTATAATATTGAGAACGATCGTAGGAACAAGTACAGTTGTTGGTACATCTATCATTACTTGACTGTTTAATTGAACATTGAAAAATCAGTGCTTTTAAGTATATTGACGTGAAATTGGTACTTGTACCTCCATACGTCGTTCGTTAGGTTAAGGCCTATTCAAATTTGGGAACGAGGTGCCCGAGAAAATTGAAAAAAAATAAGGACTTGGTAAAAAACAACCCCATCTCTTACTAATAAAAATTAATTTGACAGTTATTAATTAACACGAAATCTCTGATAGTTTTGCGTTTTCTCGACCTTATATTCCTCCCGGTTGTGACGCCACGTCACAAGGCTCGCTTTCTTTCGCACATTCTCGTTTGTTTGTTCAAGGCAAAGTTTTGCAAATTACAACGAAGGACAATGTACTTCAGCTACAAATGAATCCTAAATTATTCAAAAGATTATTTCTGTCAAGCAAGCGTGTCTTTTGTATCTTTGTGTGAAAATTGGGTATACCAAGAAGTTCTTTGTTAGAAAGTAACCTTTGCTCAATGGTGCAGTTAGTAAGATTATATCATGTGATTATGTTGTAATCCTACCTATATTTTGGATAGATATTGTTGCAATCCACTTTTAGTTTTAAGGTAGAATTTCACCAGATGATTGGAGTCTGATTAAAGTATTTGATAATAGGAAGAAGGGTAAACGGGTAGGTCGCCCATGGGTCTCAATTTTGGGAGACAAATCATGTTTCTTTCCTAATAGGCAGCCCAGTAGCTCAAAATGACTTGTATTGTATATGGTATTATATACTATATCATATATATATTGCTGATTTCTGTTTATCAAGATTTGAAAGACCATGTTACGCTGTGTTTAATTTTATGAACGTTGCTATAGTGCAGGGCAGTCTATAAATGAAGATCACAACAAGTGTATATAAGCAATATTTGAATTAGGTTTCCGTATTCCTTTTCTCAGAAACAGCGGAAATATATAGGTTATTCTATTTAATTTTTCGAAATATCAACCCTATTTCCAAAGTACAATAAAAATCAAATTTTTATCCCCTGCGTAACCACGAGGCCGTACTAACGATTAGCCAGATACAATAGTATGTAAACAGTAGGTCGAACTTTATCCTTCCTTTCTTTGTTAAATCAAAAATAGCTTATTCATTTGTGTATGGAGGTGCAAAGGTAAAACAACCAATAATATTGTGTGCAAATTTGAATTTACACGAAAAGTCAGTCTGCTCATCTCAAGTTCGACTTGTTGTTTAAATTTTAAATATAAAACGTTCTCTGATATTTGTTGCCTCATTTACAGGTTAGCATATGGGCGGTCATGGCATGCTCATCTCAGATCCAAAGCGAGACTCGCCTTTTAAATTTAAATTTTAAATATGAAAGTTTCTCTGATATATACTTGTTGCTCTATGTGCAGATTATCATAGGTTGTCGAGGGAACTCATAGTTGAACACAATCACATTTGTATCATAAACATCACTTTCAATCTAAAAAAATATTTGAACAACCTAATAACGATTGCTATATAATATAACGGATTTATTTTTCGGAGAACGTATAACTTGA